CTTTACTACACATAAACTAAGATGATTTAAGGGCAGGAACAGCTTCATACAGTGGCTGTCAGAGGAACCTAGAAAACATATTCTATTTTGCTCACAACAAAATTAATCATGTGCAGAACGGTTAAATCTGATAGACATTTCTCATCTAGCACTTGTGGCTGCATATCACTCTCAGTGCCAAAAAGCAGACAAGACACGACTGGAACACAAGGGAATGTTTATACTCTTGTTTATATTCCTTAAGACAAAAAAATTTCTGAGTAAACCAAGCCTATCAGAATGTTGCTATCAGGGGAAAATAATCAATCAGTTTTTTGTAGAATAGATTTATTAAATAAACTAGCCTAAATGGAAGCAATTAATGCATGATGCTTTGGGAGGCATGTCTGACCTTTAAGATAACCATGCAAAGAAGCTTTGATTTGGGGCAGGACTGTGTGGAAAAAAATACAAGAAGGGATGCTCATCAGCTATGAATTAAATTGCCACTTCTGTCCTTGATGAATTTCTGTCCTTCAAAGTCTCCTCAAATTTTTCAGCTTCCTGATATTTAAAAGAACTAAAATAAAAGCCAATGGGAGGTAATTAGCAGAACATTAGCAGAATGGTAAGTAGTGACTATTTTCCCAAAGCAGGCTGACCCCATTCAACAACAACAAAACATATTCAGTATGTGAAAGGAAATGGAGGAGCTTTACTTATTGTGTGCCTTAAATATAGTCTAATCTAACGAAACAAGAATGAAATAATTTTGAGGGGGGATGAGTGAAGGCATGGGGTTATTTTCTCTCTTCAATATGATCATATATTCTCAGTCAAATGTCTCCAGACATTTGAAATATGTGTTTATACTTGGAAAATTTGGAATTTTTAGGACATAACGTTTGCTATTGCATGTTCTAATATTATAACATGACATTATACCAGAATATCTAAAGTCAAGGACCTATATCAAAAATACATCTTATTTTCTATTTGCCCCCTACTTATTATTCCTTTAATTTTAAATTCATGAAAATTATCTCCTATCTCAGATGCAAAGTTCCAAGAAGTACATGGGGGTACTCTGTTAATAGTGTGAAAATTAAACTGGAAGTGTGGATAAGTTTTGAAATGGGGTTACTAAGAAAATGAGGAACACTCCCAGTTCTGTTAAAAATAGGGTAGAGTCTCATCTGTCTAGGCTGGTTTGGGTGTGGCCTCAACTAGAGGCAGGAGGATGGACGAGAATAGATGACCGCACAGTCCCTGACTTCCTGAGAACTCTACAATTCTAGAAACACTGGACTCAGGCACCATGAAAGCGAGGAAGAGAAAAACATTTCTGAGTTTTTATCAGCCATCAGAGTCTAAGAAGAAAACACATTCTTCATTCCTCTAGGTTTCCATAACTGAACAACAGTTACGGAAGGGGTTACTATAGTGTAACCTCATTTTGCACGATCCATGTGTTCATTAAGGGTGTGCTAGAAAGGATCTCAGAAATTATCCAGCCTTAGGCAGACCCTCATATAAGTATGGGAATAACAATTTTGAGAGAGTGAATCCCCTGGGGATGCAGTGGGGAGCATTCTGCTTTAAGGAACTCTATATTGGCTCCTTTAATTAAGAAAATACTCAACCTTTGGTTTGCTTTTTGTTTGCTTGTTTGTCCGCAAATCTGGTTTTCCTAAACCAAGGTACTCTTGTACTGTTTCATTTTCACTGCCACATTTAAGAATTTTTAAAAATTGATGGAATATTTATTGAGGGTATGTATGATTGTGCAGCTACTAAAATTGTAATGATAGAAACTATGCAACATGGAAATATGCAAATGAAATGTTACATAGAAAAAGAAAAATGGTCTAGGAGTATAGCTCAGTGGTAGAGCACTTGACTAACATGCATGAGGCCCTGGGTTCCATTCATAGCAAAAAGAATGAATGAATTAATGAATGAATTTAGATACATGAAAATGGTAGAACCTAAAACTGGGCATTTGCTATAATTAAAACTATATTAAAATCAGGATTATATGTGAATTAAGACGCTTTTACAAGATGCGGGTAGGTAAAAACACAATGTTACATACAATTTATATAAGTGTGCTTACTAATTATAAGCTAATTGTAAAAGTAACTGAACATTCGTATTTTCTGTTGGATCTTTGCTGAAAGGGAAATAATAAGGAATCATGAATGTATTGGGTAGATGCTCAATTCAAATCCTGATTTCTCCACTCTGAAGCCTTAGGCCAGACGTACCTTATACAGTTTTGTCTTCTCATCTACAAATGCAAATATAATAACCTGTATTACAGGGAGATTGTAAAGGTTAAGTGAGACAATTTTTAGCAAGTTGCAGAAGTTGCATACAAGATATTAAGATATTCATGGTACCTAAATAAAATTAATCAATCAATTAATTAATAGTTTAAAAATGGTATTAATTTAAAAAACTATATTCATGGAAGTTAAATGTGAGACAAGGAGGAAATGGCTATTTTCTGAACTGGATCCTGGTAGGGCAGGGATGTCCTCACCACTTTGACCATTTTCCCCAACTTATATCCCTCAGGGGTTTTGTAGGTAACTATATGAGTAGGAAACCCAGGCATTTACCAAGCAATCTAGGCTTCTGACACAGCACTCACTCAGGAGTGTTAGCTCCTTCTTTGAGCACATAAAAGACAAATCTTTCAAAGACTTGGATATCCTAATGATTGCACACTGGTAAACACCACTACTCTGTAATCTCATTGCCCAAGAATCTGACTTCCTTCTAGACACGAGGATGCAGGTACTGGCTTTCTAAATGCTAGATTAGATCCCAACACCCTCCCACCCCCACCTCTCTGGCCAAACATCTCCCCAATACAAAAAAATTCCAACGAAAGCATCTTGACAGCACAAGATTATTTGCATTTCATTATCTCTGCTATGTTGATCACAATATATACCAAGCACAGAAAGTCCTGACAAAGATTGGATGGTTTACAATCACTGCATCCTGCATCGTGCATACAGGAAATGGAAACAATTGAGGTTCATATGAGATGGAATTTAGTCCTCTAGACAGATTTACAGTCTTGCTTATGCTCCAATATCCATTAGAGTGGGAAGGTTGCAAACATAAAAAGGTTCATGCAATCCTAGGAGCATAATTTGATGGAGAATAATATCCCCCAAAGTGCAGGTGAACGGTTTAGTGTCAATCTAATTGAAAGCTACCACACTAGGGTGAATTTTAGGTCCCCAGTGTTGTTCAAATTCCCTATCAGTGACAAAATGGAATTGGGAAAATGCTGAATTCTGGTAAGAGAGCAAACATGACAAGATTATTAACACTTAAAAAAATACAGAAAGAAAACTGAAGCTGTTTTACAGATATGTGTAAAACAAAGGATTTTAATAGAAAAGTGTGAAGGCAACATTAACATGTGCTCTGAAATTGAAATAGTCTCTACTGACATAATAGGAGAAATGATGATCCAGACACAAACATGAATACATGGACTTGAGATCATAGTGGAACACAAATTAAAGATACAGACAAATCAATAGGTAATATGTCTTGTTACTTTTATAATAATAGAACAGGATACTATCTTAAAAGAAGGGTAGATTATAAGAATTTGGTAGTGCACATAGTTTATTGAATATGAGACAGCACCTTACTAGACTGACTATCCAATTGACTCATGATGTAGTAAATTATTGGAGACCTAAAAATTCATTTAAATATTAGGAGATATTTAAAAGAAAGATGAAAGTCCTGGGCTTACTTAGTCAATAGAAAAGATGCTTGAGCATCTCAGAGCACTCACTGAACATTATTCATCTCCCACAGGGCAGAATCTGATTTCTTAATGTCATAAATTGCACTTCAGGCACCTAAAAGGAAGGAGGGATTTCTTGATAAGAAAAATGACTAAATAATTTGAATACGTGTTTGAAGAAAGGTATACGGTTCTATAAGACCTAGAGGTCAATGATAAATGAGAATCTCTGCCTTATGTGTGCTAGATGCTAAGAAGTACCAAGGTGTTAAATCAGAGAATGCCTAGAGATTTAAGCTTTGGAAGTTTTGTATGCTGCTAGCATTTTGACTTGATTCCTACCTTTGGTCCATTGCTTTTGGGTGTGTGTATGCTCTTCTGAGATGATCTCATCTCCTCTTTTGATTTCAGCTACAACTCATACACTGTGGCTGACTCCCAAATCTATCTCCATTTCTGATCTTTTCTCTTACTTTCAGCCTGTCAGAACCAAAACATGGTAGACACATTCCTCAGATACTCACTAACATCTCAAAATCAGTACCTCTTCAAATAAATACATTTAAACAAATGTTCATAATAGTACTATTCACAGTAGCCAAAGACACAAACAACCCAACTATCCATGAACAAAGAGGTGAATAAGAGTTCATCCATCGCCCTCGGTCGGTGAGTCTTCTGGGTCCTGCAGTGTGGCAGAGCCTGCAGTAACTGGAGCCTAGATCTGTCTCTCCCTTAAAGGCGAGTTTCTGGAAACCTTCAGGGACACTTCAAATCGACAGAGTAGAAACTATCCTGCCTCAGAACCACCCAGCTAGATGGGAAGACGCACAAACAAAATGAAAAAACAAGGGAATAAAGTGCTCCAAACAAACCAAGCTGCTCCCATAAGAGAATCCATCGAAAAAAATATCAGTGAAGGAGTTGAGGATGTATTTAGAAAAAATGTACTACAACTTAAAGAATTTTATAAGAGAGCTGGCACAGGAGTTTTGCAGTAAAATAACAGAATCTCTTCAGGAGATGAAAGAAAGATCACTTCTGTAAAGATATATCAGAGGTCCTGAGAAGAAATAAAGAAGAAATCATCGAAGGGAAGGAATCACTAAACCAACTTAAAAGTTCAATGGAAAGTATCACCCACAGACAAGACCATTTGGAAGATAGAACCTCAGGCAATGAAGACAAAATATTTAATCTTGAAAATAAAGTTGACCCCACAGAGAAGATGATAAATTGCATGACATTCCCTCACCCAGATACCATGCCTGAACAGCAACTGTTAAAGCCAACCGAGTGGAGCTACTGTGACTACTTCTGGGCTGATAAGAAGGATCCCCAAGGCAATGGCACGGTGGCTGGGTTCGAACTGCTGCGCCAAAAGCAACTGAAGGGCAAACAAATGCAGAAAGAAATGCCTGAATTCCTCCGAGAGAGGATAAAGATTGAAGAAGAATATGCAAAGAACCTGGCTAAGCTCTTTCAGAACTCCTTGGCTGCACAGGAGGAAGGTTCCTTGGCCCAGGTGAAGAAGAGTCTGGCAGATGAAGCAGAAGTTCATCTCAAGTTCTCAGCCAAGCTTCACAGCGAGGTAGAGAAGCCCCTAATGAACTTTCGTGAGAACTTCAAGAAAGACATGAAAAAGTGTGACCACCATATCCCTGACCTCCGCAAGCAGCTCGCCAGCCGCCATGCATCGGTGGAGAAGGCCCGGAAAGCTCTCACAGAGCGGCAGAGAGACCTGGAGATGAAGACCCAGCAGTTGGAAATCAAGCTGAGCAACAAGACAGAGGAGGACATCAAGAAGGCACGGAGAAAGTCCACACAGGCTGGTGATGACCTCATGCGCTGTGTGGACCTCTACAACCAGGCGCAGTCCGAGTGGTTTGAAGAGATGGTGACCACCACTTTGGAGCTGGAGTGGCTGGAGGTGGAGAGGGTGGAGATGATCCGGCAACATCTGTGTCAGTACACACAGCTGCGGCATGAGACAGACATGTTCAACCAAAGCACAGTCTAGCCTGTGGACCAACTGCTTCGAAAAGTGGACCCGGCCAAAGACAGAGAGCTGTGGGTCAGAGAGCACAAAATGGGCAACATTTGCCCATGGACATGGAGATCTAGACACGCCTGTGCGGCCCCGGGGGTTCTGCCCAGGAGAGGGGCTGGGGGTCCCGTGGAGAGGGGGTGGTGGCTCCCGCTCGGTGAAGCTGCCCTCCCACCCACTCTCCTGTCCACTGAGGAGAGAGGAGAGAGCTGGCAATTCCAGAAGGGTGATCTGGATGGCTCAGCTGGGGAATCCCAAATATTCCCAGGCCAAGAAGACAGACCCCGCCCTTGTCTCCAAGACTGAAGCCCCCCCCCAAACCCCGTGCCGTGTTTGTTGCTCTGAGAACAAACTGAGTCTGGAACTTTGTGGTCCCTGCTGAGTTCCATAGGGGTGGCTGTCACATACTTTTGCCCTTGGATGCCCCAAAGCCCATCCTTCACCTGGTCCCTTTATCTCCCAGGGCTTTGGAAGATCAGGGAAGGGCTGTCTCTGCCTCCAAGCCAATGTCAGGATCAGAGTCATGGATAGAAGGCGCCTTCAACTCAGCCTGCACCTAGAATCCTTTACGGCCCTCTCTCTATTTTTCTCATTGCGTTCTGGGAGCCCAGATCTGGCTTTTCTTGGCCACTTTTCATCCCGTGGGTCTTGGGAAGACCTGTTTTCTGTCTTCCCTGACCAACCCTGCCCAGAGAGGTCAGGATGGAACTACCTCATTCGGCAAATTAGCCCCAAGTCGCAGCATTGAATCACGGTTCCGATCAGACCAGGCATCATCTCTGAAGTCTCTGGAAATCCCCATCCCTCCATTCCTCAGCTGCTTTCTCAAGGCCGTCCCCACCCCCACCCTGCCACCCCTGCCCAAAGTTCTCTGCCAGGGAGACCTCCTTCAGCTGTGTGCATGTCCAAAAGCTTTGAGAGATGGAGATGAGCTAGAAACCATATGGGGTCTGTCTCCCATGGTGTCCTGTCCAACACGGGGCTACCCTGACCCCCGCTCTCCCAGGCTGCCCACCAAGGGCTTAATAGGGCTAGGTCAGTCCCACATGGGAGACGGTTAGGGCAAATCTTTGTCAGACTCCATCTGCTTATGCAAGATAGGGTTTGGACTGCTGTATGAGCATTGCAGACTCTCTCTCCTTGCTATCCAGGTGTGTCCTGCCACCTGGGCCTCCAGCTCCTCCGAACTTTCCAGAGCCCTGCACCAAGCCCTCGCTTGGTGCCAGCACCTCCTTTCCCTCTGTCCATCTTCCCTGGAGAAGCCTGAGCCAACCATGACTCGGGAAGCTTTTCAGCTCTACCCCTGGGTTCAGCCCACCACCTTTTCTTTCTCGACTACAGCAAACACCATCTCCCCCATCTTAGCCTAGAGAATCAGCCTGAGGGGGCTGGGAGAAAATATTGACCCAGTGAGCAAGGAACAGCTTCTAGCCAGAAACCCCTACTCTGAGAGGCCACCTTTCTTCATCTTTTCCCTTGATGGCTTTCGGCTTGACACTTCCATCTCCCATAGGGGCAGAATTCTTCGAGCCCAATTCACGGATCTTTCCCTCCATTTTACATTGCTAATAATGGATGTTAATCTTGAATCTTTCAGCATCTCTTCCATTGAATTAGAATGGCTTTCTCATAGTTTATTTTAGAAAGATGTTCAATATACTAAAGCAAACCAGAAAAAAAAAAAGAGATGAATAAGCAAGTTGTGGTATGTATGTGTATATATGCATACACAAATATATACATACAGTGGAATATTATTCAGCCATAAAAAGGATTGAAGCACTATTATACACTAAAATGTGATAAACTTTAAAACATTATGCTAAATTAAAGAAGTTAGACAAAAATATATATTATATGGGGCTGAGGATGCGGCTTAAGCGGTAGTGCGTTCGCCTGGCATGCGCGGGGTGCTGAGTTCGATCCTCAGTACCACATAAAAGTAAAATAAAGATGTGTCCACCAAAAACTAAAAAATAAAATATTAAAAAATTCTCTCTCTCTCTTTAAAAAAATATATATACATATATGCATATATATATATAAAATATGATTCCATTTATATGAAATATCCAGAATTGGTAAATCTACAAAGAGAAAGCAGATTGTTGATTGTCAGGGGCTAGTAGAAGAGGAGAATGGGGAGAATCTGCTTAAGGGGTAATTTTCTGAATTAACTTTCATGTAGTTTACAAAGTTTATTAACAAGTAGAGCAAGTAAAAGACTAATAAGATGTATTCATTTGAAGTTCCTATATACATTACTGTGGTAATCAACCTTTAATATGGCCTCTAAAGGTCCCCACATCCTGACATTCACCTTCTTATATGGTCAGTCCCTTGTCACATTATAACTAAAAGAATATGGCAGAATTGATGATATGTCACTCATGAGATGAAGTTACAAAAGACATCGCAGCTTCTCTTTTGCTTGGCCATATATTCTCTTTGTCTCTTTCTCTCTCTCTTATAATTTACTCTGGACACAGCCAGATACCCTGTTCTAAGCAGTTGCACAGAGACAGGCTCAAATAGCCAACAACTGAGGACACCAGTCAACAGCCATATGAGTGAGTTTGGAAGTGGGTCTTCCAGTCCCAGTCAAATCTTCCAGTCCCAGGTGAATAAACTCAATATCTTGAGAGATTCTGTTATGGTTTGGATTGTGGTGTCTCAAAAAAGTTCATGTGTGAGTCAATGGAACAGCAATCAGAGGTGAAGTGATTAGATTATGCGAGTTGTGACCTAATCAGTGAATTAACCCACTGATACAGATTAACTGCATGGTAACTGTAGGTAGGTAGGGTGTGGCTGGAGGAAGTGGGTCACTGGGGGCATGTATTTAGGTTTTACATTTCATTCCTGGTGAGCAGAGCTCTGTTTCTGCTTTCTATTGCCATGTCCTAAGCTGCTATCCTTTGCCATGATTTTCTGCCTCACCTTGGGACCAGAGCTGTGGAACCAGCTGTTTGGGGAGTAAGACCTTCAAATCCATGAATCAAAATAAACTCTTCCTCCTCTACATTGTTCTTGTCACGTCTTTTGATTACAGGAATGAAAAAGATGACTAACACCGACTCTGAGCCAGAACCACCTTCTAAGCCATTCCTAAATACCTGGCCCTCAGAAACCATTGTGAGATAATGAATATTTGTTGTTTAAAATGATACATTTTGGGTAGAAGTTTTAAGCAGCAAGTAAGTCAAGCTTTCATGTCTTATTCATACCCCCAAAGATTTCACTTCTTTAAACCAACCACCATGAATGGGATGAATTCAACACATGAATTCCAGGAGATCTTCAGACCATAGCAGCATGCACTTGGAATTATAAGTTATAAGGAATTATCTGTAGTTCTCTAATTAAGTTTATTAATTAGTGTGTGCTTATAAGGTTTTGATAAACTCAAGTTCTGCATGAGTTTCTCAAAACCCTTATAAGCACACACACTTTTGTACACACTGGTCTTTTTGCCTAAATACTCTAACTTTCCCTACTTATTCCAACTATATCCCTATCTTCTAGACGAATCAAGTTGATTGATGTTCAGAGAGAGGTTCAGACTAGGTGCCATGGGAGGAACACTCCATCCTACCTGATGGTTGAAGGAAGTTTAGATGGAGCTAAGTCTTAAGGAAAGAGCAAGAGTGAGCCAGGTAAAGAAGGTGAAAGATGCTCTAGGCAGATGGTCAGAAAAGGCCAAAGCTGGTTGGAGTTCTACAACTATATGATGAGGGTTGGAAGGATCAGACTTGGAAGAGAAAAAAGAGCTCTAAGCGAAGAGGTAACACAGTGGAAGGAAACAAATCTCTATTGGGAAATGAACTCTAGGGGAAAATGGGAAGGAACTGGTCAGGAAGTGAGTTACGAATTATGGTAAGAAGTATGAACTAAATAGTGCCTCTCAAACTTTAGTGCATATTACTATTTATTACTAAGAAAATACTTTTCACTAGCAATGGCATATAAGATTTAATTTCTTAAGTCAGAGCTCCACAAACTAAGGGTCTGAGTATAAATATTTGAGAGCCTCAGGCTGGGAGATGGACACATATCCTTTTGTGAAGACTATAAACAATTCCCTAACTGCCACAAAACCTCATCATGAATTATCAGTATTGCTTCCATTTATCCATATTTGTTCAATCCTCTAAGAATTCTAACATTTTATCAGTCACATTTTCATCCTGTAAAAACTTGTTGCCTTTCCATTGAAATGCTCAGTAATTATGTCATACTCATAGTCAGGGAGTACGGAAGCAAGACAACTCACCAATCAGAAATCTAAGTTCTGCATGAGGTCTTTTCATGATCGATACTCTAGCACAAGGTTGTTTTTTGTTGTTGTTGTTGTTTATGTAGCAAAATGGCTAATTTCATCCTTCAATTATTTCAATAATTTCAATATTCTCAGGCAGATGACATTAGAATAAAGGCATTAATCAAAACTAATTTGTGGCCCACTTATGATTAATTATAATAAGAAAATGTTTACCTTTGGGTATATGAGAAACCAGATTGGAGATCCTGAATGGAAGGGTTCATGCCTCAAGGTTTTCTTTTGTGAGAATATAACCCTCCACTTTGCACCCCACGCAGGTGCTATTAGCTGATCCATTCTTATTCATTATGTCTCAGTGGAGAGTTTCTCCTGATTATTCAAAAATTTTAACCCAACTCCCACAGTTGGTCTGTTCCCATTAACTGTTGCTTTCTTCCTAGGCAGTATGATAATTTGTCACTGTCTTATCCCTGTTGACCTCACTGGATCCTGAACTTCATGGAAGCAGAGACCAAGTGTGCTGTATGTCCATTGTCCTGCTCATAGAAAATGCTTCTTCAGGGTTGATGAATGTGTGGATATATAAATTCTATTGGGGGAAAAAACCACTCAGGGGCTCATCCTCTCCTAGGGATGATCTTAGTACAAAATTTTCATTAAATTTTTTTCATGAGCTCTTTCCCCCAAATGTGGTAAGCATGTAGAACACATTTTAAAGAATATTGATTTTAATTTATAGTTTAAAAAGCAAGCTGACCTAATTGTTTTTTAAGAGAGAAATGCCTCATTTAGAACTGGGAAGACATATGTAAGAGTCCTGTTTAAAAAAAAAAAAAAATCATCCAATGCCAAAATGGGAAGGAGCTCCCCCAGCCAAAGATGGAACAATTTGAGCATGAACAAGAACAAATATTATAAAGAATTAAAACAATTATGTTGAAATCCATGAGTTCAAAATGTTATTTAAAACTGATTATCTTTGGGGTTTCCCATGGAACCAACTCATTGTTCTAAAAATTATCAAATTAGGGAAGATTTATCCTGTCTTTCCTGTGCTAGCTGTATTTCAAGTTAACAAAAGACTTGGAAAGAAAAAATTCTTCTCCATAGACAATTAAAAAAAAATAAGTGCAGAAGGAAGGACAAAATTAGAAAAACAACAGTTTTGTAACTCCTAATGAAATAATGGATTTAGGAAACACTCATGAATGTTAAAAACTATTTTTTGAATTGCTGATGGGGTAGCTTACAATGGTTAAGTGAGACTGATGATACCTGAACTTCTAATCAATCTTAACGTCACTAAAAGTGATATAATCAGACATTAATGTCTCCAGTGTCATGTACATCAAATCTCCCATCTAGGGAGTATTCTTTGTTTCTTTAGAAAAAAAAAAAAAAGAAAGAAAAGTGAATCTGCATTTGATCAAACCTCTAGAACTAACCATCACTTTAAATGACACTTTGAAGTTACAGTCAGTCATGTGGGAAATTCTATAGGACAAACGAACGACCCAAATCCTTCAATAAATAAATATCAATTTAAAAAGTAAGTGGGGGTGAAGTTTTCTATGTTAAAAGAGGTTTAAGTGGCAAATAAACCACATTTAACATTTGACATTGCTCAATCCTGTTTTAAATAAACAATCTACAAAAAGTGATTTTAGACAGCAGAAGGAAAATGAGCAATTATGGTATATAAAACTGGTTTTAACAAATTATTGTTAAATTTGTTAGGTGTAATAATAGTATTGTGTTAGAAAAGACTCTTGTTTTTGAATAGGTAATACTAAAAGAATTACTGGTAGAAAGATGATGTTTAGGATTCCTTTAAAATATTCTAGGAAAAAGAGAGAAGTGGAGGACATGAATGGCAAAATCTTGAAATAGGTTGAAGCCTTGTGTTTGTAGCAGCAGGGTTATTATTCTTAACTCTGCTTTGTTGTTTCTTTGAAAATGATCATGTTTAAAATTAAAAGCTATTTTTTTTATTTTTGAAAATGCCTTAGTGTAAAATGAACAAAAATACAAAAAAAGTCTAAAAATTAAGAGAAAAATATTGAAATATAGTCCTATGAATTCACAATCCAGACCAAAACATGGAACATTACCATTTCTATGTGACTGTTGTTCTCTCCCTTCCTTCTTCAACTTTCTCCCTTCGAGAGTATCACTATTCTGAATATTGTGTTATTATCTCCTTGTTTTTCTTTTTAGTTTTTAAAATTACTCACATACCTATTCTTACACAATACACTGATTAATTATTTTTTGTTCTTGAACTTCATACAAGTAGAATCATGTTTCACATATTCTGTTGGCTTGTTTCTTTGAAATGATCCATACTGAATCTTTTGAAATGATCTACATTGATACTGTCAACTGTAGTTATTTATCTTTGCTGCTGTAGTGTTGCATTCACTGAAACCTTTTTATTATTCTACAGTTGCTGGGCTTTTGAGTTCTTTTCACTAATTATGAGTATTCCTGTGCATAGGAGAATTTCTTTAAGGTATAAAATTGGTAATGTCAAAGTATATTCTAAAGTGATGGTCTTGTCTCTTTCCACATGCAGGCAAGAGTTTTCAAGAATTTCCCTTTTTCCATACCTTCACCTACTCTTTCTACTTTCAGAATTCTTAATTTTTGCCAATCTGGTGGTCAGTCTAAAGTGGCTTTTTATTATTATTTTAATTTACATTTACCTTGTTACTAGTGAATTTTAACATCTTTTCATCTGTTTACAGCCCACTTGTGCTTCCTTCTTTCTGAAATATGCATCCATTCTTTTAGTCTTATTCCAACAAGTTATCCTTTTTCTACTGAATCCGAAGAGAGAGAGAGAGAGAGAGAGAGAGAGAGAGAGAGAGAGAATGTATGTATGTATATATATATATATATTTTTTTTTCTGTATTTTAAACTTTTGTAGCTATTTGCATTAAAATATCACCATTTTGTGTCTTTTTTTCCCCCTCACTGCCTTTATAGAATTCTTCTATGAATCAAGGTTCTTAATGTAATCAGAATTAACAATCTTGGGGCTGGGATTGTAGCTCAGTTGAAAGTACTTGCCTAGCACGTGTGAGGCACTGGGTTCGATCCTTAGCACCACATAATAAGTAAGTAAGTAAATAAATAAACAAATAAGTAAATAAATAAAGTTATAAAAATTGATGAAAAGAAATTTTTAAGTTAACAATCTTGTACCATTATTTACCTTATTTAAAAAATCTTTTCCTACATCAAATACAAAAGCTGTTCTCTTATGTTGTGTTCCAATGGCTTCAAAGTTTTGTTTTCCACTCCTAGGTCTTTAACCCATCTGAACTCTCCTCTACCTTTAGTGTTTGTAGGGCAGGGCTTTGATTTCATTTTTATTCTCATGTGGATATCCAATTGACCAGAATCCTTTCTCAAAAAATGCATTCTTTCCCTAGCGCTGTATCATACCAACTCAGTCAAAAACCAAGCATTAATATAAGAGCAGGTCTGCTTTTAGACTCTCTACAATAGGCTCAATTTTCATCAATGGTGTGGGGGGGGAGACAGTAAGTAGAACAGTCTATGTCTGGTAACTTCCCATTTTTCTTGAAACTAGACCTTCTAGTGATTGTTCTCAACTTCTCTCTCTTCCCTCTGTCACTCCTCTGAACCAGGGCTCCTAGTCTTCCTGGGTTCCTCAAACATCAGTTTGTGTCAGTTCTCTTCTTGGAAACATTAAAGGATCTCAAGTTGAAACGATAAATGGAATTTTTAAAAACCTCTTCCTAGCTAGAGAGTGAACAGTTTCAATCTTCAGATTGACATCAATCTCAAGAGTGCCCATAATACAGCAGAAACTGAGTAAATACTAGTTTCTGAATAGCATTTCCTATAAGTGAGAGGGGCATGGTTTGCCTTCTAGCATATCCCAAATGTTATTCCATGAACTACATTTATTTTGTTTTTGTCCAACATGTATGACCTAGATATTTGTCTAAATCACATAAAGATGATAAAGGTTTCACTTCACTCTTTCATCATAATTTAAAGGCATCTTTTTAAATCACACAAAAATGTAACTGTTTAACAAAATCAGTTTGAGTTATCCTGTGCTGTTAAGAAGTGACTCCAAGAAAACTAAAATGACAAAACAAAGTAATCAGGGTCTATTTAACATCAAATAAAAATTTCATTGCATTTTATTAGCTGTGTAGGGACACAATTTGGGGATGTTTTCATACCTATCCTATTGTATGTTTTGGTATTATCTCTGTTTTTTGAGCTAGAATATAAAAGTCTTCTGCAGGCAACTTCAGGGACCAATTAACTCCATTAAATTATATCCAGTTATGTAGTGAACTGAACCACGGCTCGTCTGGGGCTGTCTAGAGCTGTGACAATTAGGAGATGGAGAGAGGCAGAAAGAGAGAGATTGATTTTATGTGTCACTGAAGCACACTGCAACAATATGCCAGCGTGACTTTCAAAATGGCCTTAAAATATTCCAAACTCAGGGAGTTCCCTTGCTCCTGAGTGGGAGTTGACAGACTGTCTGGCAGCATTAGAAAGACACAGAGAAAAGCTGATGTCTATATTGTGTCCTCTAATAACATTCTGCCTCTTTGCGGCATCTCCCCCTTAGAAAGATCCGTCAATTTGTTGTTGTTGAGAGAGAGGAGAGAGAGAGAGAGAGAGAGAGAGAGAGAGAGAGAGAGAGAGAGAG